AGGGGGAGGGGGAGGGGGAGGGAGAGGGAGAGGGAGAGGGAGAGGGAGAGGGAGAGGGAGAGGGAGAGGGAGAGGGAGAGGGAGAGGGAAACAGACAGACAGGCAGACTTGTACATGCAAAGATTTTGGTTATCTCCTGAGACAATCTCCCATGGACATGAAGGATAAATGTATTATTAATTAGAATAATAAAAGTAAGTCTGATTTGTTCTTTCATTAATTCCCTCACTCAGGAACTGAAGAAGCTTTACAAAATAAGAAAAAAAATTAGGATTCAGTTTAAAGAAGCAAAGTCACATAATAACTAAATGCCAAGTTTACCAGTGTGTTGCAAATAGTAACTTAAAGCCCTATAAACCCCATGCATCTTAGCATACTGGCTTGTTGGCATTTAGTTTCTATGACTATCAGTCTAAAGGCAGGACAACTGACTCCTTCATGCAAGATTTCTCCACACACCTTTCCATATGGCTGTGTCAGGACTGGCAGGTATATTTTAACTTAGCTCAAGGCTTTTATAAGCATATTGTCATTAGCAATTCAATTTCTTGGGAACTACTTCAAGCTCTTTCTGGAAGCCTGTGAGGCCTGACCCCCCCTAACAAGCAGTACACATGAAGGGCCTCTGCCTTACCTGCCTCCTTCTCAGTTTCTGATTCAGAAACTTCATCTTCCCCTTCCTCCTCCTCTGAGCTGGAGCTGCTGGATTCTTTGTTTTCTTCCTCTGTTTCTTGGGACTTGGGGATCTCTTCTTCATAAAGCATCTTCTCTTTGCTAAATTAAAAGTACAATTTGAAAGCAACTCAGAAATGACACAAACCATTTAAGTTTGCTAACAGTCAGATATAATACAGGGAAGAAATCTATAAATCTGTATGTAGAAGCAACAGTAAAAACATGAAGATCCTTCTGATACCCGTGTGTTGTTCTCTTGGACCTTGGCTTTTCAACAGTCTAAGGTTTATTACTGACGTTAGAGTATGACTCAAGGGGACTTTGTCTATTCAATACATAGATAGAAGAGAACCGTGACTAACAAGGAGAAGATGCTAGTAGGACAGATAAATGGTTTTAAAAATCATCACACAGGCCTTCACTGAGTTCTATTACATCCCCAAATCTTGCTAGGGACTGAAATAGTGGTTGACAAAGAGACAAATTCTGAGCTGAGGAAACCCCTGTATAATCAGAGGAGCAGGCAGGACTAAGAACCCCTGGGCTAGGGTAGAAGAGATGCTGCCAGAATGGTCTCTCAGTGTAACACATATTCTTTCATCCTCAGGGGCCCAGCTCAGCACTACCTCTCTCTATCCACAAACATTCCACACTTGGAAGATCATTTGACTGAAATGAAACAGAATCATTTTAATATAAAAATGCTCAACACACTCACACATGCATGCATGCACGAGTGCACACACACACAGAGAAAGAGAGAGAAAGAGAGAGAGAGAGAGAGAGAGAGAGAGAGAGCGCAACAAGCGCATTCCATTCCTTGCATACAAGTAAGCTTGTATCTTACTTTTTAAAGAGTCCACTCTGAAACTTGCTACTCAGGTCTGACTCGATGAGTTTATTCCGTGTCTCCTTCTCACTTCGAAGCTGGAAATTGAGAAAATAGAGAGAAAGAGGGAAAAGTTGACAATTTGTGAAAAATCAATAGTATTGAGAAGGTATTATCATGCTGAAAAAACAAAAAATAAAAAACAAGACATAAGCCAAAGAAGGAAAAGGGAATCAAAAAAAAAAACAAAAACAAAAAAACAAACAAAAAAAAGGACAAACACATCATCAACTTGTACACTACTTTCTCCTTGGAAAAAAGTAACAGAAGAAAATTCTTATCCAAAGTAGAAGAAGAAAACACATAGATAGAAGAGAACCATGAATAACAAGAAGATGCTAGTAGGACAGATAAATGGTTTTAAAAATAATCACACAGGCCTTCACTGAGTTCTATTGCATCCCCAAATCTTGCTAGGGACTGAAACAGTGGTCGACAAAGAGATAAATTCTGAGCTGAGGAAACCCTTGTATAATCAGGGGAGCAGGCAGGACTAAGAAACCTTGGGCTAGGGTAGAAGAGAGATTTAAGAAAATTATCCCTCCAAAATCCCAAACCAAACCTTAATATGAAGAGAAAAGCCTAGCTTATAAGGGCAAAGAGCCAAAGGAAACCTGGAGAGGATGCTTTATGACTCACATAGCAAAGTAAGTTAGCAGTAATTCTAAAGAAACCATAGACTTAGAGGAAACGGTCTGGTACTTAGATGTATACTCTAAACAAAATATACTTATATCTGAAGGGGGTGGTTCTGATGCTAAAGTCTTGTCTCCCAATTGGTTCTTGATTTGTCAGTAAAGAAAGCCAGGGCCAATTGCTGGGCAGGAGATACAGACAGGACTTTCAGGTTCTAGGAAGAAAACGCAGAAGGAAAGAGAGGTCTTTCTGCCATGCTTTGGAGGAAACATGTGAGGTCTTGGGGGAGCTGGGGCCTGTGGTCTCCACTACAGGGGAGTGGCCAAGAATGTTTGGCACAGGCTAGGTGGGACTAGCCACTGAAGTTTAGGGCAAGTGGAGATGGAGATAATAAATTTCTATCTTTTCCAGGCAGAAGACAGTAACACCCAGCAATTGTGCCTAGAAGGCAAGTTGTAAAGTAACAAACTGTGTGTGTGTGTGTGTGTGTGTGTCTTTTATACCTGGATTCAGGGAAGCTAGGGGAGGACCGGTAGCACAGTCACCTCCCAGAAGTAAAGGTGAACAAAAGGGAAGCTGGGAGGGAGCTGGTAGCATAGCCGATCCAGGAGCAAAAGGCGGTAGATAAAACTACACGTGTAACATATCCTAAAATTATGTAGAAGACAGAGACAAACACTGTTCCCTTTAGAACAGCAAGGTATTGTGAGGAAGCTAGGCCTGGGTGTGCAGGCCATCATACTAGTTACTAGGAAGGCTCAGGCAGAAAGACTAAGTTCAGACTAGCCTGGGCTAAGGAATGAAATCAAATGGGTGATGAGAGATATCATTTATGTCCCAAACCCAATTACGTTAGTTAAAGAGTGTGTATGTTCGAAGTTTTTATGTTACTCTAAAAATGACAGATGATAAGGGTTTGCAAGAACAAAAACTTAACTGTGTAAAGTGGTGCATTTGCCTAAGGAAGGCTGATGCTACTAACAGTGTGTTAACACTGCCTTTGGATTGTGCTATCATGCAAGTGATCCTGAATACTCAGCAGAGGAAACATGAACCGTACATTGTTTGTCTGAAGTTCATGTATGTAGCTTTCTAACTGAGCCTAAAGTAACAAGAGTCACTGCTTCAACAGTTCAGTCATGATACAAACACCCATGTCAGAGACCTTGATCTGTGTTTCTCCAGAGTCATATAGTCCTGAATCAAAACCCACGCTATTTCCTATATTTGTCCTAAACTTAAGTTTCCACACCCTACACTATGTGTGAACGGGAGAGAAGGAGGAAAGCCAGTGTTGGGCTTTTATTTTCTGTCCAAACTAATTTTATTCCCCTGTTCAATTACTCACTGGGAGAAGATGTGAGCGGGTCACTCTTCACCTGTGTACCTGGTAGCTTTCCATTCGTGTATGTAGCTCTTCAGCAAAGCACCAGGCAGAAAGGCAGATAAAATCAATAAAGGTTTTAAAGTAAGGAGGAAAGAGGACTAAGTTCTGGATGTTTTCTCAATCTGAAATAAGTATGAATCACTACCAATCAAGTACTATTCAACACCATGTGACAATTTTGCGGTATTACCTCATTAAGAAAGAAACACAGTGGGGTCATGGTGATGTACACCTTTAATTCCAGCACTCGGGAGGCAGAGGCAGGTAGACCTCTGAGTTCAAGGCCAGTCTGGTCTACAGAGTGAGTTCCAGGACAGCTATGGCTATTACACAGAGAAATCCTGTCTTGAAAAAAAGAAAAAAAAAAAAAGAAATACATTCCTTTCTGTAATGAACTGTAGCTGCCTGAAGGCTATTTTATGTAGCCTTTTACAACATGGTTTTTCAAACATACTGTTGATAGTTTCTGAAGGGAACAGCATCTGTAAAATGTAGATACATCCAGTTCAGCACTGAACAGATGACACTGAAGCATGGGACTCAAACACCCAGAGGAACTGCTCACGGCCAGGAAAGCTGTGAGAGTGTCCAGACTTACCACATCTTGCTTCTTCTGAAGCATCTCCAAGTGCTCCACAAGACCTTCATCAGCCACATCAAACGGCGTCTGGCCCTAGCAGAGCACAGGCCACCATGACAGAGAGAAAACAGAAGCAGCAGTCAGAGGACTTTTTCAGGGTCTATTCTCTATTTACTTACTGACTGACTTTTATTTCTGTGATATAAGCTGAATCTCCTTTTTCTGAAATGCTTAGAACCAGAAGTGCTTTGATTTTAGAATATATGCATACACACACACAGTCATCTTCGGACTAAGACTTAAGTATAAACATCAAATGTATTTGTTTCACATTTATTGTACAAATATAGCCCAATGATAATTTTTTATAATATTTTAAATAATTTTGTGCTTTCATGGTCTGGAATTTTCTACTTGAGGCATATAAGTATTCATAAAATCTGCGATTATGAACATTTCAGATTTCAGACTTGGGTTGGAGATGCCCAATCTATAGTGGTTTCCCTAATCTGTCTACTCTACATTGAGCTGCCATCATGAGTCACAGAAAAGCTATTTTAAGAAACAGCAAATTCTTCAAACACAGAGTTCTGTGGTCAAAACAGTGAGAAAATCACTACACTAGTTCTAATGCTTATGGTCTCTTGACAAACAGTCTAGGGGAATCCCTATTTATACCTGTCCTAAAGTATTACTGTGATGATAGATTCAGTAAATGCCCTTGGGTCACACTCACACTGAAGACTAACAGGAATGATCTCCCTTTAAGGAAGAAGAGGGAAGCCAGGACGTTACTTCTTTTACGAAACACGGGAACGATTACATATTCTGTATAGTCTAAGAATGAGACCAGGATTCAAGAGTTATGTGAAAAAGACAGGACCATGTGTCTGGACTCTAGAAAATCAAGAGACAGAGTCTCAGGGTTCTAAGCTGCTTGAAGTGAGACTGATGGGATTGCTTTTAGTCAAAATGCAATAATCATTGCCATTACAGACTGCTCTTAAAGGAGTCCACGTGCCAAGAACTCAGCAGTTAAAAGACCAAGAGTTGAAACATAGAAAATGTTCATACCTCACCATAGACAGGGACCTTGGGCCTCTCAAAGTTCATTTGTTGTCAAGAGCAAACTCATTTCCTGTTTTTTTTTTTTTTTTAGGGGCTTCAACACAAGTAGGCACAGATGCCTTGGTTGGCGGAGTTTGACTTTGCTTCAGTATTAACTGTTCTATAGAGAGAGTGAGCAGTGGCGCAAGGAGCTGGGGGACATCACAGCCCAGTGCAGTCCTGGACACTGACCAGAGACTTCAAGCCTGCGCTAGGCACCGAGCCACCTGATCTCATTGCCCTTTCAGAGGTTCAGGCTCACTAACCAGTTTGTTCCGGATATCCATGTCACAGAGTGCTTCTGCCAGGATGGAACAAGCCTCTTTCACTCCCCAGTGTGCAGCTGCATGAAGAGGAGTCCAGCCGTCATGATCCTGAACATTGAGTTCATAGCCAGCCTGAATGAGAAGCCTAGAAGAAAACCCAAAAGGTACATCTATGGACTGATTTTATAGTTTTCCACCAAACAAGCTGTTACTCCACTAATACCTCAGACGTCCCATGATTTCTTCTGCCTTCTAAGAGATAGCCTACTATGCATATCACCACTTTGAGCATCCCTTACAATCTTCACTGAACTGTAAGGTTACACATATGGCATTCCCTACACATATCCATGTTACACTGTGCTGGTCAGTTTTTGTCAACTTGAAACAAACATGTATTCTGCAAATTGTGTCAACACTAAACACCAAGAGTCAAATAAAGCATGAATATAAGAAAAGTAAAACAGGTAAAATAGTTGAGTCTAATTCTCTTTTCTTGCTTTTTAAAATTACATTTTAAATTGATTTCTTTGGTGTGTGTGTGTGTGTGTGTGTGTGTGAATGTGGGTACACACATGCCACAGTGCACAAGCAGAGGTAGGAGGACAACCTGGAGGAATCAGTCTCTCTTTCTACCATGTAGGGGATTGAATTTATGTTATCAAGTTAAAGCAGCAGATGCTTTTACCCAGGGAGCTATCTACACACACACACACACACACACACACACCACACGAGCACGTGCACAGGCATGTACCACTCTCTAATTCTCTTATGAAAGCTGGATATTGCATACTCAAGATCTATAATTGACTTAATAAGCCCAGAAATTGTCTAAATCGTAGAAGCAGAAGGATCACAGGTCTGTATAATCATAGAGAAGGAGGTTTTAGGAGAACCAGTAACAAGTCACAGAGCTGAAAGAGGTCTTCCTGTGTCACTGTGCCTCAAGTCTATCTAACATCATACATACTAGGAAGAGCGACACACCTATGAAGGAATACCAGCAAAACAAGAGGAAACCAACAACAAGAAAATACACCATGGTTAAAGGTTTCTGCCTCTAAAACTCTTGCCATCTTCTCCCAGTACCCATTTCCATATGTACTTGTATATACTTATCCTTCTTCCTCCATACCTGAGGACTTCAGAGTAACCTTTGGCAGCAGCTACATGCAGGGCTGTGGCCCCTGAGCGAGCCTGCCTCACATCTTCTATTTTCCCGCTGTTGAGCCACTGGCGGGCATCCTGCAACATTTGCTGTTCTTCCTCCTTCCTTGACTGCTCTAGATCAACTCCTGCAGAAGCAAAAAACAGACAGCAGTGTTACTAAAGCTCCACCCAAATCTGACAAGATATTTCATTAGCTTAATAACATAAAAATATTACCACAAATAACAGTCCCCGCATCAAGCTGATAACTGATCAAATCTAAGGCAATGCCATTCGTATTACAAAATTGCCAGATCTAAATAAGCCAGACTAAACACTATGTGGTGCACACTCATGAAGAACACACACCTAACACTTTACAACAGAACATAAATATCAGAGGAGATACTATTTTTACTTTACAATATTTGCATAAAGTTTCAAATGCTAAAGTCCTTTAACATGTTATATGACAATCTGGTGGGGTAACCCCACTTCCATAACTAAATACAGGATGCTTTGCATATGGCCTCAAACACGTCAGTGGCAGAGCTAACATTAGAACTCCTGGATACTCTTGGCACTTTTCTTTTCCACTCATTACACCACAAGAATACTGTCAAAGTCTTCGTTTCAGGTATGATACACTACAAGAGTGACCTCCTTCTAAAGCTCATTTCCATATGTACTTGTATATACTTACCTGAAGCCACATAGAGCAATCCAGAGATTAGAAAGTGATCTGAAACCAATGCTATATAGTCTACTTTTAAGGCAATGCAGACTTTGTTTCCCTTACAATCATACAGAGATAATCCAAGAGCTCTTCTATAGCTAGGCCAGTAAAAAAGGGCCTTAAGAAAGAGCATTCTTTATTATACAAAATAATGAAGTGTTCTGAACACAAGCACACTCATTCAAAAGGTTCCATATTCATAAGTAGACTTTGTCTGTGCTTTTAGTCTTCTTTTTGGCTCTTAAATACACCACTGTTAACTGCTGAAGAACTGCCTGTCTGGTATGGGAAATGCATAGGGTGAAAAGGAAGCCCACTTAGACACAGTAGGAGTTCTGAGTGCTGTGACGTGAAACACACATATAAATGCTTGTTCATCAAAGCATTCAAGGAAGAGACAGAATTCAAAATTTAAAAAAGTTGGTTCTGAAACTAAAACTTACTTTTACACTTGTAAATTGTAAAACATTTTAAGAGATGAATGGCTCAGCAGTTAAGAGCACTGACTGCTCTTCCAAAGGTCCTGAGTTCAATTCCCAGCACCCATATGGCAGCTCACAACTGTAGTCCTATGAGATCTGATGCCCTCTTCTGATGTGCAGATGTACAGGTGACAAAACATCCATATTTATAAAATAAATAAATCTTTTTTTAAAAAAAAACACACATTTTAGGAGCTAATGAATTTAGCATAAAAACTTTAATTCAGTAAAGCACAAAACCAAGTATGGACCTCAGTAATACAACTTAGAGTATTCATCACTTAAGGCAAGCCCAGGATACTTTCTATAAGGGGTAGATACTTAATGTTACCTTCAGATTTCCCAGCCCTCCAGTCTGCCAGCGCTACTCAGTTCTGCTGATGCAGCAGCATCAAAGCAGCTTTGAACAATAAACAAACAAGTGTTCCAAAGGACCACACCATGAAAGCCCACTAAAGCTTTAGAGATAACTTTGATGCTTAGAAGAGCCTTCCCTGTTTCCAATCATTACAGATCCTGTCCAGAGTTCCATGACAGTTTCAACAGAATCCTAAGACCTGCTGTCCATGGATATTCAATAACATTAAATGAAAGAATTCAAAAGCTAGGTGTGGTGATGCATGTCTGAAATACTGGGATGGAGAAAGAAGATTCGAGGCAGCTGTCCATGGACAGCCTGGACAAGACTGTGTGTAAAAAGAAAACAAAATGACTTTGAGGTGTGTGATAGGAGAGCTCCACCCTATTTCCTGAAATGAGTTTCTTCTAAAACTACAAAATAAGAATATACAATTTCAGAATATACTCTTCTAGGTTAGGTTTCTTACCTTAAGAAACTACTATAACCAGGTATGGTAACTCACACCTGTAATCTCAACATAGGGAGGCAGATGCAGGAGGATTACTGCAAGTCTGAGGTGAAGTCCAGGCTACAGGGGGAGCTCTAGGGCATGTGGGGCTATGAAAGCCCTGCCTCTTAAAAACACAAACAAACAAAAGAAACTATCAGAATAGTTTCCGGTGACTCTGACTAAAGACCCTTTCAGAGGTCTTAATAAATAGCTTCACAACACCACCTGCAAGTTTCCAGAGGGAAAGACACCCACCCAAAGTCACACAGTAGAGCTGGCCATGCTATCCTGGCCTTTCTTCAAGCTATCCTGTGCAACAATGTACAATACAATAACACAATAATGTTATTCATTTATTATTAATTTCACACCCTATAGCCTTTGATAATTAGGACCATAGGCTTCTCCATTTCCCAACAAGAGTAACGTCAAGATTGCCTACAATACAATGTACCCACACAGAAAGAACAGTCCATGATCTTCCCCAGGGCACTCCTAGCTACAAGATGGGTACACAGCCTTAGAACAGCAAAGACAAGGAAAGCCTGGTCATCCTTTGGGCATCTGGCCTATGCCTGTGTGAGTTATTAAAAAGAATGTGACACTGGTAATTGATGACTAATGCTGTGCAGACAGAATTAATCCTGTCCTGTCACATGATAATGAAGAGGGCAGTGTGAGGAGGGTTACCTTGTTTCTTTACTTGTTCCAGAAGAAGATCTTTCATGGCTGGCTCCTCTGCAAGGTCAGAAGGAACTTCACCTTCACTGTTCACAATACCCACACTGGCTCCATGGCTAATAAAATACCTGCATGGCAAAAATCAGTATTATCTCTATCAATCTGATACCAATTTGTACTGTGTGTCTTGAGTTCAATGTACAGCAAGGTATATTTGGGGTTTTAAATATGGTGCTGATGAGATATTTTGTTATTCATTTATTATTAATTTCACACCCTATAGCCTTTGATAATTAGGACCATAGGTTTCTCCATTTCCCAACAAGAGCAACGTCAAGATTGCCTACACACCAATTCTTGAACTTCTAGAAATACTAAGTCTTTCTAAATACTATGAGGAGAGGATGGGTGTGCAGCCCGCAGCTGTAATCCGAGCACTTGGAATGCACAGACGGGGGAGCTCAAGGTTGAGCCTACGTGCTGAATTCAAGACTAGCCTATACTACAAAGTGTGACCTTGTCTTATTGGGTAAAATAGGGAGGACATGCAGTCCTCACCCCTGTAACCTCCTAGAATCCAACTGAATTTTCAGAAAGATAGACTATACTTCAAGTATTATAAATAAGAACACTCAAAAGCCATGTAACCAGTTCTCATGAAAATGTTTACAGTATCAGGTGAAGTTTACTTAGTACTGTTGTACAGATGAAAGCTGAAGAATAAAAGCATATATTAGAATTTGAACAAATTATACTTCCACAAAACAAACCATCTATATAAATCTGCACTCATAAAGGAAACTAAATTACTAAAGAAGAAACATTTAAAATGCTAAGCAGATTCTGAATCAATACAACTCCATACAGAATATTGGAGAAGAGCGAGTTGATAACTTCAGTACCTTACCTGCATCTTTTAATTTTCAAAGTTTTTCTCTCTCTACTCTTTTCCCTTCTCTATTGCTCCTTCCCACTCTTGCACACATATGCATACAGATCAATCTTAAACAAAGTTATGATGATGACAACATCAATACAGCTAAGAACTCTACTCTTTCTGAAACTGAGGCTCCAAGTCTGAGAAATGACTTAGCTGGGGGGGGAGGGTTGCTGACAAGACCGACTATCCGACTTCAATTCCTACGTGGTGGGAGGGGATAAAGGATCCCTACAAGTGGCCCTTTGACTTTTATATGCAAACCACTACACACAGAGACAGATTAAATATTTAAAAAAATTTTAAAGAACCAAGGTTCAAGTATGTTAAGTAATTTTCACATGAAAAAATTAAAGTAAGAAAAAAAGAGATTTTTCTCAAAATCACATAACTAGAACATGGCAGAAACTATTAGCCTCAGTCTTGTAAGTTTAAATCAAATTAGTTTAAGCCAGTTAGAATCCCAATAATTCTAGGAGTGCTATCAGATATTCAGAGGTATTTAAAAAGAGAAAGAAAAACTATGTAAATTATATTTCAATTCATTCAACAATTCAATAAACATCAACAATTCAATCACTATTTATTGAGCTACTATAATATTAAAAAAAACCCACATTTTGAGATGGGTTAGATTTAAAATAAAGTCAATATATCTATGGCCAGTGTATTTGAGAGTTCACAAAGGAGGGGAATAATCACTAAAAATGAAATTAAAAGCCTAACTTTGCTTTCTCAGTGCCTGGTATAATAATAGGGGCTCAATAAATGTTGACATATCAACTCTACATATATACAGCCTATGGTTGTTTGAATAAGTATGACCCCAACAGACTCATAAATTTGAATACTTGGTCATTAGAGAGTGGCAGTACTTGAAAGGCTTAGGAGATGTGGCCTTGTTGAAGGAAGTGTGTCATTGAGAGTGGGCTTTGAGGTTTCAAAAAGCCCATATCAAAGCTAGAGAGTCTCCTCCCTACACCCTCTTGCCTGCAGATCCAGATGTAGAACTCTCAGCTACTTCTCCGGCACCATGTCTGCCTGTGTGCTGCCATGCTCCCTGCCTGACTACTGACTAAACCTCTGAAACTGTAAGCCAGCCCCAGTGAAATGTTTTCTCTTATAAGAGTTGCTGTGGCCAGGTGTATCTTCAATAGAACACTGACTAAGGCACAGCTTAGTGGCATTTCATCCCTCAGAGACTCAGAGAAAGACACTTTACTCAACTCTAAAGCTATGTGCTGCTTATCTGTATTTTTAAATCTACTGAATATCATCACTGTATCTAATTATTCCTTCATTTCTCTATAGCCAATAGTTTTTCTTTTCTGGTTTCTTCCCCTCAAGCCAAGTGAGCATTCGACCATACATCCTGTACACTGAAAAGAAATCAATATATAAACAGTATATACAAATAAGTACATGATAATAAATATTGGTTGCACTGAAATACATACTGCAATCAAACACAGTCATTTCCTAGTTCCTCCAATCCCTTCACATCCAGCCCTGCCCTCAGGATGAGCTGTTTCCTACAAGTGAATGGAACACACTCCCTTCTCTTCTCCTTGTAGGTACCTCTCACATCGCTCAAGGTCCATTTCAAATTTTATGCCTTCAAGAATCTTGCCTGTTCCCAACTGAACTCTATCTTTCCTTCCTTTACTGCTACTTTCCTGCCCCTGCAAACACTAGTTGCAGCTCTTCGACGGCATCTTGATACTTTCTCTCTTGGCATTCTATGAATCTTGGTGTCTGTTCTAACATGTATCCATCCATAATGGCTCAGGCACAACATCCTCAGGTTATACAGGCTGAGCTTCTCCCTTTTCTGTTCTTAGGACAATGATCAAGAAAACTGGTTTCTACCAAGGAATACAGCTTTCTATTTTTCCACATCCCCCACCCCATTCATAGGAGAAAAATAAAACCCTTTAGCACTACACTTGTACTGAACAAGAGTAAGAGATATGACCTAGTAAGCAGCAGGAAAGAGGAGGAGCCTGCTAACTGTCGAGAGGCTCAGAATTGCCATTAGAGCCACATATGTCCCTGGAAAGACAAGTTGAGCATTGGTCAAAGGTATTTTGCTACTGTTTCCTAACATTTATCTATTTCCTTATTTATTGGTATATGTGCACATGAGTGTACTACAGAACATACAAGAAGGCCAAATGACAACTTCCAGAAATCAGTTCTTTCCCCCACCATGTGAGTTCCAAGGATCAAACCTGGGTAATCAGATTTGGTGGCAAGTGCCTTTGCTTGCTGAGCCATTTCACTGGCTCTCTTTGCTATTCTTTTAAGGAGGGGGGTAAGCACAGAAATAAAAATATGTTTTCAAGAAACCTCAAAATATATTAGCATTGCAATAAACTATATGTCATGCTAAATGCTTGGGCAAATCTGGTGCTTCTGAATTAAACACCACTAAAAATAATGCAGCTAACTAGTATTCTCCTTGAACTCAAAATAAGGAAAAAACAAACTTAAACACACACACACACACACACACACACACACACACACACACACACCATCCATACAGAGTTAGAAATATGTGGCAATAAAAGATCACCAAGGATCATGAAATAGCATGGCTGTGGTCTCCTCAAGAAGCCAGTCTCTCTGCCCTTCATTCCCCCTCCCTTGAAGGCCAGTGCTAGCAATTATCCTAGAAATAAATTTAAGATATAAGTTCTTCAAGACACAAACAGATGCCAATGTAGAGGAAACGCACATCTGTGACCCCAGCACTTGGGCTACTGAGGCAGAAGGACTGAAGTTCAAGGCTGCCTAGACTAAATGAGCCCAAGATCACCCAGAGCTATATGGTAATACCCTGCCCCTCACTAATTAATTTTAAAAAAATATGTCTGGGAGGATGGCTTTGTCAGGTATAGGTGGGAGAGGAGGTCCTTGGTTCCCCAGTGTGGGGGAATTCGAGGGTGGGGAGGTAACAGTGGATGGCGGGGGCACACCCTCATAGAAGCAGGAGGAGGGGGATGGGATAGGGGGTTTCTGGGAGGGGGAAATGGGGAAAGGGGATAACATATAAAATGTAAATAAAATAGCCAATAAAAATTAATTTCAAAAAAGAAATATTTTTACTATTTTGAATATATAGGTGTTTTGTCCCAATGAATGTTCGTACACCTCATGTATGCACAGCCCTTGGAAGCCAGAAGAGGTGCCAGATGTCCTGGGACTGTAATTAATAGAGGGTTATAGGAAGCCAAGTGAGTGCTGCAGGTCCACCTCAGGTCCTGTGTAAGAGCAGCCAGTACCCAACTGCTGAGCCATGGCTCGGTTCCAATCCCAGTTAGACAATCATGTTATTTCTCTGATCTGTTGTATAAAAATATTACAAATAGAGACAGTAAAATAAACACCTGTCTAACAATAATATATGTGCTACAAGGTAAACTGAGGCATGCTGTCTCTAGCTCCGCCCACATCTGCAGTGGACGCCAGTGGATCAGCTCACTATGGTCAGACATTCATATCAGAATCTGTGATGGTCACTGTAAGCTTACTCCAGTGAAGGTAATATTTGACTGAGCAAAGGATTTCTAATTTTAAATTTATTTCCGAAGGAACTATGCTTGTCTTTAAAAATGAATTAAAGAAACCACAAAAGCCATTATAATAATTCCCTCTATGCAGCTTCCCAGAAAGATACCACCACATATTATTCTAATTTTAAGACTCAGCTGGTCTTAGATGAGTGAGAAAGGAAAGAAAAATGGGTTAAAAATTACTTCTTGAATGTAATGAGATTGTGTGGCTCAATCACAACATTCTACCTGAAGGCACACTCAAATACAAATGAAGCTGATATGTCTTGTTTCTTAAGTAAATGTTCCAAGTCGAAAATGGACAAAGAAGTCATCTTAGCACCTCTGTACCGGAACATCGACATGAGTGAGTGTAGATGAGAACCCGAGCTTTTCTATGGGCCTGAAATGGAGGCAGCCTGGGTGCTGAGGAGGAGGTTACAGATCTTTACTATTACAGAGCAGGGAGAAGAATGAAGAACCAGGGAAACTCTACTACCCAGAGGTCTTGGCTTTGAGACCAATTCAGTTATCCACCGTCTTCTTTTTTTTGTTTGTTTGTTTGTTTGTTTTTCGAGACAGGGTTTCTCTGTGTGGCTCTGGCTGTCCTGGAACTCACTCTGTAGACCAGGCTGGCCTCGAACTCAGAAATCCACCTGCCTCTGCCTCCCAAGTGCTGGGATTAAAGGCGTGCACCACCACTGCCCAGCAATTATCCACAGTCTTAAGCAACAGCCTTGTCCACCACCTGCACTTGCGCCTCATGTGTCTCTGCTCAGACACTCTGTGGGTTTAACTTCTCTAACTAAGAATCCTTGGGTCAAACGGAAACCCCACCATAAGAGATGCTCCAGGAAACCTGGAAAAATGCAGTTCTCAGACCTCTACATGGCTGCCTGCTCTTTACTAAGAAAAAAATATGCTAGCTGCAATCATATCATTTAAAAAGACTTAATCAATCTGGCTTTCAAAAGACCATAGACTATCCTTATTAGATTTACTTTAGCAATTAAAATTTGCCCTGCAAATTTTAAAGATGTTCAAATGCCCAAGTTTCTTTCCTAAGAAGAAATAAAATCCTGATCATCCGTCCATATACTAGACACCTACTTTGTGCTTCTCGTATGGTAGGTGCCACATGATCAGAATTCTTCTATCTTAGGCAGGGCAATCTCCTCCCACGGAAGTCAAGAGCTACTAAAGTCTTAAACATAGTCATTCCACCGATGTGGAGCACACTGCCAATCACTACTTTGCCTTGGTTCCATATGTTCCAGTTCATAATTTGCTATTTACTGTAGTAATGTTTATAAAGACAAACAAATAAACAAAAAGCAGGTTTACAGAAAAGTTAAAAACCTACAACTCACATGCTTGTGTTATGCTGTTTGGAAATTAGCCAGACAGCATACCAGGCTAATGTTGCCTCTGAATAGTCCAGAAATTATGAATTATATGAAAACAGAAGCAAACAAAAATTGGAGCTAAGAACTCTGCATTTAGATACAAAGCACACTGTCAACTAGCTCTTAATAGTCAATTTTCTGGATTTTATAATTTAAAGAAACGTACAACTATTTGTGAAATTCAATTTCTGGGAAACAGAGGAGGAATCTGCATCAAGCCCACAACAGACGCTCACTCACTCTGCTATGTTGAGATAACCACAGGAAGCTGCTGCATGCAGAGGTGTCCAGCCCTCGTTGTCTTGCTGGTTTACATTGGCTCTGTTCTCCACCAGAAACTTCACCATGTCCAAATTTTCATCAATACAGGCCTGAAAAGAAAAGCCCATTGATTCATTCAATAAGTATTTACTAAGTTCTATTATGTCCAGACACTGCTCTGGACAATGGCAGTGGCAAGCACTTCCGATGCACTATTCATTTTTCCTAGTAAGTGGCTGAAATATGACTTCCAACTTAGAAGCACTATTTGATATTGTTTTCAGTATTAGTGGGATTAACTGTGAATGATTTCTACAGCGCTGTAAATGGGTAAGCTACTGCAGCATTTTTGTTATAAAAGGGGAAGTGTGTTAGAAATGTTTTCATGTGTTTTTCTAAATGGCTTTGAATGATACGGGAAAGTGCATTTGTAATTGCAGACAGATAATGTTCTCTGCCTTCATCACAGCAAGTAGGGAAAAACACAAGTTTGTTGTTGTTGCTGCTGTTTTTGAATAAAGGACTTTAAATCTTTAATAAGCTTAAAAATACTCAAAATGAAATATGGTTGATCCAGACATGGTGGGACATAACTGTAACTCCAGCATTTGGAAGGCTATGGAAGAGCTCAAGGCTGAGGTTAGTTACATACACAGTGACACTCTATTTCAATTTCACTAAATTATAAAAACAAAACAAAACCAGGGCTAGTTCCATTTCCAGGATCTTTAAAAAACAGCTGGCATGGGGGCATATACTAATAATTCCAGAGCTAGGAGGCAGAGATAGGCAGATTTGTAGTTCTCATTGGCTGGCCAGTCTCACCTACTAGCAAGCTCCAGGCCAGTGAGAGACCCTGACTCAAAAAACAAAGATAGACATCACATGAGGTTGTCCTCAGATTGCACCAAGGATGTCTTTAGGCTTCTACATGCACAGAAAGGGGGGGGGAGGGGAGGGGGAGGGAGAGGAGAAGGAAGAGGGGAAGAGGGGGAGGAGGAGGGGGAGGGGGAGGGGAGGAAGAAGGGGAAGAGGAGGGGGAGGGGAGGGAGAGAAGAGGCAGGAGGAAGGAAGAAGAGAAACAAAAAGGCTACTTTAACACAATAAAAAGGAAGCTGGCATGATGATGCATGCCTTTAATCCAGCACTTGGGGAGAGAGAGGCAGGCAAATCTCTTGTGAGTTCGGGGCCAACATGGTCTACATGTGAGTTCCAGGACAGCCAGGGATACACAGAGACACCGTGTCTCAACAATAAAAGCAAAAGGGAAAAGCAAAGAAATAGTGACAAGGATAATTATTCAGGCTTAGACAGTTCCCAAACAGGAAAATCCAGGGCCTAGAATAACACAGCCTTTTAAAACTTGCCTAGGGCCCAGCAGGGCGGTTAAACGCCTGACTCTTAGCATGCAGGAGGCTGAGAGCTATATTAATCCTGCCAATCTGTACTACAAACTACTTGGTATTGGTACAGTGACAGGCAGGAAGATCAGTGGAATAGAATTGAAGACCCAGAAATGAACCCACACACCTGTGATCACTTGATCTTTGACAAGGAAGCTAAAACCAGTGGATAAAAGACAGCATTTTCAACAAATGGTGCTGGTTCAACTGTCAGTCAACATGTAGAAGAATGCAAATTGATCCAATCTTATCTCCCTGTACAAAGCTCAAACCCAAATGGATCAAGGACCTCCACATAAAACCAGATACACTGAATCTAACAGAAGAGAAAGTGGGGAAAGGCCTTGAACACATGGGCATAGGGGAGAAGTTCCTGAACAGAACACCAATGGCTTATGCTCTAAGACCAAGAATTGACAAATGGGACCTCTAAAATTGCAAAGCTTCTGTAAGGCAAAAAACACTGTCAATAGGACAAAACAGCAACCAATAGATTGGGAAAAGATCTTTACCAATCATACATCCAATAGAGGGGTAATATCCAATATATACAAAGAACTCAAGAAGTTAGACTCCAGAGATCCAAATAACCCTATTAAAAAATGGAGAACAGAGCTCAAAAAAGAATTCTCAACTGAGGAAACTCGAATGGCAGAGAAGCACCTAAAGAAATGTTCAGCATCCTTAGTCATCAGGGAAATGCAAATCAAAACAACCCTGAGATTCCACCTCACACCAGTCAGAATGGCTAAGATCAAAAACTCAGGTGACAACAGATACTGGCGAGGCTGTGGAGAAAGAGGAACACTCACTCCTCCATTGTTGGCAAGATGGCAAGCTGGTACAACCACTCTGGAAATCAGTCTGGTGGTCTGAGGGCACAGCTATACCACTCCTGGGCATATACCCAGAAGATGCTCCCACATGTAATAAGCACATATGTTCCACTATGTTCACAGCAGCCTTATTTATAATAGCAAGAAGCTGGAAACAACCCAGATATCCCTCAACAGAGGAATGGATACAGAAAATGTGGTACATTTACACAATGGAATACTACTCAGCTATTAAAAACAATGACTTCATGAAATTCACAGGCAAATGGACGGATCTAGAAAATATCATCCTGAGTGTGGTAATTCAGTCACAAAAGAACACACGTGGTATGTACTCACTGATAAGTAGATATTAGGCAAAGAGTGTGAAATATCCACAATACAACTCACGGATTGCATGAAGCTCAAGAGGAAGGAAGGTCAAAGAGTGGATGTTTCAGTCCTACTTAGAAGGGGGAACAAAATAATCTAGGGAAGTAGAGAGTGGGAAGGACTTGGGAGGAAGAGAAGAGAAGGAGGGGAAAAAGGGGAAGAATCAGGTATGGGAGGAGTTGGAGATGTCAGGAAATTAAACAGAGGTGTGTAGCAATGGGGGGATGGGGAACTGGGAGTGACAACCAAAGTCTCAGATGCCAGGAAAGCAGGAGCCTCCCAGGACCCCACAGGGATGACATTAGCTGAAATACCCCACAAATGGGAGGGAGAACTTGTCTAGACCATATCCAGAGGTTAAACATGCCCCCCCCCCGCCAGGTTGAGGGATGGGGCCACCCACCCATCTCCAAAATTTTAAGCCAGAATTGCTCCTGTCTAAAGGAAATACAGAGACAAAGAGTGGACCAGAGACTGAAAGAGAGGCCACCCAGAGGCTGCCCCACCTGGGGATCCATCCCACATGCAGACACCAAACCCAGACACTATTGCTGATACCAAGAAGTGCTTGCTGACAGGAGCCTAATACAGCTGTCTCCTGAGAGGCTCTGCCAGATCCTGACCAATACAAATCCAGATGCTTGCAGCCAACCATCAGACTGAGCACAGGGATCCCAATGGAGGAGTTAGGAGAAGGATGAAGGAGCTGAAGGAGGCTTATCTGGCATCAATGGGAGGGGAGGCCCTTGGTCCTATGAAGACTTGATGCCCCAGTGTAGAAAAATGCTAGGGCAGGAGTGGGTATGAGTTGGGGGAGGGCATCCTCATACCCCCCGGGGGCGGGGGGGGGGGATAGGGGATTTACAGAGGGGAAACTGGGAAAGGGAATAACATTTGAAATGTAAATAAAATACCCAATTTAAAAAATAAACAAAACCATTAAAATTAGAATTCATTAGCCAAATAAAATTTGTCTTCTAGATAATTTTAGAAAATTGACTGTCTTCTCTTTGTGTTGACATTCGCACTACCGATGCCAAAGCCATGGTAGGGAAATCTGCTGGTGGGTAAATATACCTTATTTAATCAAGGCAACTGCATCAAGAGGCCACTCAACCTAAAATGGACTTTTATGCAGTGATAAGGATTGTTGGTTTAGGGGCTGGAGAAATGGCTGAGTGATTAAGATCTGGCCGTTCTCCCAGAGGATCCAGGTTTGATTCCCAGAACCCACATGACAGCTAATAATGATCTGTAACTCCAATTCCAGGGGATCTAACGCCCTCTTCTGGCCTCCTCTGGTACTGCATGCACCTAGTGCATAGACATACATACAGGCAAAACATCCCATACACAAACCATTTAAAGGATTACTAACAATTAAAACTAAACCTTTTGAGAGGATATCTTTTTAGTATTCTGTGTGACTAAGTGGAAAGCATATTTGAAGTCCTCTGTGGCTCTGCAATATGATGGTTGTTTCTAGGAAAAGTACTTGGGCAGGGTTGAAAGATGAACTAGCCACTTTTTCAAAATATATTATTTGTACAGAAAACAGTAACTAACAAAAAACTATTTATTATTCAGACATCAAAATGAACAAAGTCTCAAAGAAAATAGGAATTTTTGTTGCTATAATAAAATTTGACCATGCAAATGAAAACCAAAATTTTGCGAAGCACAGCCACCATCAAGAGCTTGACAGTTTCCTTATACTCTTCTGATACTTACACTGGGATATCTACAGTGCAGTTTTTTGTTGCTACTTTATAACTGTAATTTCGATACTGTATGAATTGTAGTGTAAATATCTGATATGCAGGATATCTGATATGTGACCCCCAAAGGGGTTAAAACCCACAGGTTGAGAACCACTGGTCTACAAGTATGGTCAGTTACTATTATATAATGAAGTGTATCTATATTCAAAAGATCTGCATAAATCAATGAGCCTGTGTTTTTCAAATACTAAATAGTGTTAGAAAACCAAGCATAGGTAAAAGATTAATTCAAAGAATAAGTTAGATTAATGGGTTTTGCTATTGTTTTGTTTCGTAGACAAGGTCTCACTATGTAGCCCTGGCTGGCCTTGAACTCACAGAAATCCACCTGCCTATGATATCCAACTGCTAGGATTAAAGCCATATGCCACCACACCAAATGATTGATGGGTTTTAATGCAACGGAGTAAGACAGTGCATTGATACAGTTTCAGTCTCCATTTCCAACTAACATTTAACAAACTAACAATGTTGGGGATATAGTTCAGCTGGCAGAATGTCTGCCTAGCATACACACAGCATCTCTCTGCAGCTTCTTCAGCATGGTTTATGACCTCATTAACCTCATAAACCATACACAGCAGTGTACATCTGTAATCCCAGCCCTTGAGAGGTAGAGGCAAGAGGATTAGTTCATCATTATCTTTTGCTGCACAACAAGTTCAAGGCTAACTTCAGATATATGAGAACCAGAAAAAAGCAAGAAACAAAATTACTG